GGGGCCTCCCTGGCCGAGCGGTATCGCCGGTCCAAACGCTCTGTTAAGCGTGGAGGTAGCGGGCTCGATTCCCGCCGTAACCCTGGATGTATTCTTTGTGATGTCTTTCTCTGAATTGTTCTATCTGTATTTTCTACTTGACAATGACTTATAAGCCTATATTGAGCACACAAGTCAGCAAATGTATGTAATTTCAATTAATCAAATCATATATATATACGCTGCTGATCTTTTTAAAATCAAGTTATTTACAACATCCTGCCAAATCTTTGATTTATAAACACTTCATTAGATTCATATACAGTATGATTTTATACTTATAAAAGTGTAAATTTCAGTGTTTGTCAACACTATATTTCTCTTATACTGTAACAAAGAAAATCCTCATTTCTTTTTTACATTGGTAGCAAAGATGTAAAATATCAAGCGTGTGAGCTATCATAAGCATGAAAGTTTAAACGTGCTTGTTTACAAATTTCAGAATGAAAATTCTTTTCTGAGATGGATGACAAAAAGCTGAAACAAGCTGAGCTATAAATTGGGAGGAATTGAAAGGTTAAAAATGTATAGTTCATATCAACAAAGTGTTCTATATTATGTCTTAATTATATTTATGCAGGTTCCATAATATTAATTTTATGCATTGTTATTGTTATTCATTGAAAAATATTAGTCAAATGAAATGAGCATAAGTGAATGTTTATTTTTATTCAGCAATATTACTGTAGAACAATGTATTCTCTCATATTATGAATTATAACTTTAAAAACTCACAAGTACATGTGAAATTGGTTTTGTATAAATGTATTGGTTTGTATTAAATATGTAGCTTATATTAATTACTGTAAATGTCCATCAATGGGTTTATTACTGTTAGTCATTTATTTCTTTTAAAAAAATAGTGTATTTCTATGTTACTGTAAAATTATTTGGACTGTTGAAATAAATAAAAATTTATTTTTTTGAATTTTCTTTCTTATCTCTGTCTATTTTAGCATTCCATTTAAATTAGGAAAGGTAAACGATTGGTTTTTTTTTTTTAAATCTTTGATTCATGCACATATCTCCAATATTTTTATTTTAATGTAGTTTTTCTGTTGATAGCCAAGGTTCAAAATCAATTCTATAGACATTCAAATAGAAAATCTCCGAAGTAAGGTATCATTTTTCTACGATAAGAACTCCACAAAGTCCAAGGCCCATCTGCTACTGTGGAAATAAGAATAGCGCATTTCAGGGAGGGTAGCTTCTCTTCACTCTAGGGCTAACTCAATTGACTGAAGAAAAAGAAGAAAAAAAAAATTTTTCTCTCTGAAATGTTGTTGAAATCTCGCTCTCTTTCGTTGAAGAGGCATAAGTAACGTCTGAGCTAACGTTTACCACTAGCAGATAACCACCGATAACCATACACGCCTCGCTACAGCCGTCTATTTATTCGGATCCATCCGCCGTTCAGAGGGCGCTGCTCAGCATACGCATGCGCTACGGGTCTGAAATTGTAATCATTTGCATATTATGCTCTACTTTGCATTTCCTGAAAATTTCAGCACACTCGCGAAAGTCCTTCATGGTGTTGCAATTTTCGCAAACATGGGTTTATATATATATATGAGTTTATATATATATATATATATATATAGCATAGTAAATAAATACAATAAGAAAAGAAAATTAATAAGTTTTATTTACTGCGCATAAGCTGCAAGTAAGTAGAACTCATAGAATAAGTTCAAAATGTAGAGAAAACATGGAGAAAAAAATACAGAACAATTGGGGGGGAGAAACCGGGGAAAAAAGGAAGAAAAAAATTAATAAAAAACCGGAAAATAAAAGATATAATCTTTTCATCAGCTCACACGATTATATCTGCAAAAAAGAGTTTTTCGGGCCCATCCTTGGTAACTAACATATCAAACGCACTTCAGTACTGCAGTAAGAACGGACTTTAATACAAAATTCCTCTATTTACGCTTTTACCTGAATTTGCACTTTTGGTTTCATATTTTGCAATCTTGTTACGAAAATATTTTAAATCATTCTTGAAAAATTTCCCGTTCATGTAAGTTCATTTGAATTCGCTACTCTCTTTATAGATTTCATTTCATGTTTTATTCTGTTTTTTCTTAATATTTTATTTTTTTACGTGATATTTTTACTTATTGTGTTCTATTTTATTTGTTATAATTTTTTTGCAAAAATTTTTTTTTGAGTGCTCCTCACACTATTATATTGATATATTTTTCTTTAGCTATATTGATACAATATTAGAAAGCGCTCCTTTTTGCGGATATAATCGTGTTAGCTGATGAAAAGATTATATATTTTATTTTCCGGTTTTTTTATTAACTTTTTTTCCATTTTTTTTATGCGCTGTAAATAAAACTTATTAATTTTCCTCGTGTTTTCTTCGCCAAAATCGAAAATCATTTTTGTGTAAAGAACTCTCAAACTCAGTCGGCACTACTGCAAACAGCCGCCGTCGGTTTCTTATGTGTACGTAGTTTTAAACGGGAGCCGAAGTAAAGATGTGTGCGTGCATATTTTGTCCAAACAGTAGCCATCGGTTCCTTGTGGTGTTAAACGGGTGAGAACTGGTATTAAACGGGTTATGTTAAAAGAACAATAAACGCGTTTCTCTCGCTTGGACCCCTGATAGATAAGGAGAAAAGATCGAGGAAACCCAAGAATAACTTGGTAAGAGAGAAATTTTAAAAAAATTTAGAGGAAGCCAGGGGGGGGGGGGCACGGTTNGCGGGGGGGGGGGGGCACGGTTAAATAGACAGAATATCATGTACGCTAAACAGACTAATGTAAAATGCAGTAACAGAAAATTTATAAAGGCGAGAAATTCTTAAAAAATAAAAAAGGAATGCTTTTTTTTCAGTACGAAGTCTATTAGGTACAGTTCGATTTTCATATCGAAAATAAAACGAAAATGAATCTATATTTTTGAATGGAATTGCGGCAAGTTCAATATAAAAGAATCATAATCCATTCATAAGTCTGTTCGTGCATTGAATGAAAATTATAAAAATTCTCCAATTTTTTTCGCATAAAAAGTTCTGCATAGAATTACATAAAAGATCCTATAATCTAAAAAATAGTGATAATATATTGTTAAATAAAAGTAACATAAATAGTTTGCATGAGAAGTCGGAAAGAATAATTATAAGAAAAAAATGCCTTTAAAATTTGAAGATTTGAAAAAACTCCGAATGTTTTTTTTCTTTTTCTGTCTACGTGCCTGCCGCATCTTAAGAAAATCAAACATTGTTATAAAACTAAATCTGTCAATAAAATCGAAACGAAGGAAAGATCACGAAATCTATTAACAGTTTCTGGAATGTGTCAGAAAAAGTGAGTTGTCCTGGTAGAAAAGATATATTCAATGTGTCGTTTTTGACACAACTGTGCAAATCACTCAAAAGTTTGAATAAAATTCTAACACATTGTTACACACCCACATAAACTCCAAGAAAGTGAGTGGAAAAGTGAAGTTCAGAGTAGTTTAGTTCTCCCTTGATTTTATTTTTTAAAATAATGTTATTCGTATACATTACCAATCAAAATATAGATAAATGTAATCATAATATTTTTTTCGTTTTCATAAAAAATTTATTTTAAAAATGCATATTAATACAATTTATACTCTATTTTAAGAAATTATATAAATTATAGCTTGTTATATAACTTAAATATTAAATTGAGTAGCTTTGAAAGACCAGCAGCATATTATGTTGATTACGCATGCCATTCATTTATTTCAAATAATTTCTTGAAACATCAGTACAAAAGGTCATTTACAGTTAGAAAACATTTTCAAGATTTTAAAATTTATTTTGTTGTACTTTTTTGATGCCATTTCAGGCAAAAGATTATTGCTAATGCATTTTATGTAAAAGTTTGTCGTTTCTCTGCAAGGTCAAGTGAGCTTATAATACAGTTTCCCCAATTCAATGAAATTATGATGTAGAACATAATAGCATAATAAATTTTCTGGAAAAAGTTTTTTCCCTTTTATACGGTTTTATGAAGATTTAAACAGAGGTGCAGTGGGGCCGGAGCTCACCGGTATTTTTTTTTTTTGAGACTTTAATTCGAATAAGTTTTTAGAATCTTGATCGAAATGAAGTAAAAACTGTATATAAAAGAGAGATCCTAAATAAATTTTAAAGCAAAAAAAAAAAAAAAAAAAAAAAAAAAAAACGACAAACGGTATCAAAATTTAACAAATCATATCTCGGGTTTACAGTACAGAAATCATCAAAAACAGTTCAGTTTCATTACGAAACTTAAATGCGTTTTTAATAAAAGACTGTTAAAATTCTCCCTGTTTCCTCCGGCAATTAAACAGACTTTAATGTTTTCAGTCCCGCTTCCCTAGTAGTGATTTGTTTGCTTTCGATTGCTCTGGAATATGTAATAATTTGGTTTTTTAATAATTTATTCCAGTTTATGTAATAATTTGGGATCCTTAATATGTTTATTTCTTTGACTTCATTCACAGCAAGAATTTGAAAGTTCATATTAAATGTAAGTTCATATTAGTAGTGATTTGTTTGCTTTCAATTGCTCTGGAATATGTAATAATTTGTTTCTTTAATAATTTATTCTAGTTCATGTAATAATTTGGGATCCTTAATATGTTTATTTCTTTGACTTTATTCACAGCAGGAATTTTGAAAGTTCATATTAAATGTGGTCATTACAGAACACCGTATGTATTTCTTATGTAAATCGTCCTTCTCCTTATCCATTCTGAAGAAAATATTTTTATCCCGACAACACTGGGTTTAAAATAGCATTGAATAACATTCCGTGACAAACTTTACTTATTTCAGCTGTCAACAAGCAAGATAAATAGGTAATTCGGTTTTGAAAGTTTTTTTTCCCTTTTATAAATTCGGTTCTTGATAATAATAATTTTAAAAAAAGTAAACTTAATAGGGTAGTCAATTCGATAGGTTTGTCTAGTACTGGCCTAGTCTTTTAATTTGAGTAGTATGTAAAGATTTGCAATTTGTTTAAATAATAATAATTCCTTTCAATCAAATTAGGCACATAGTATAATCAAGGAAAATAATTCGCTTACGTTGTTTGGCATTTCTTCTGCAAACTAAACGGCAATAGGTTAGATGTCATAAACCGTATAACGAGTGCTTACATCATACGTGACGCTACTGCCACTTCATTTTCTATTTCCTTATTTAAAATTAAACTTCTTTTGTTATAATTCTTAGAATCCCAGAGGCATTTTAATATTTTATTCCACCGCGTACTTCACTATAAATTGACAGTCCTAATAAAAAAAAGTTTTTTAAAAAAAAATCCATGAAATGGCAAAATGATTAAAATGAAAAAGAAAAAAAAATATTCTCCTATACGGCAATTTCTTTTTTAATTCTCAACAAAGAACTAGGAATCGCAATGTAAACGAAAACAAAATATTCCTGCTGAGGGTCTTATCAATTTACGTCATTTCTGAGGGTCGCGCATGCTCAGTTCCCCCACTGTAAAAGCCTTAGGCCTTTTCGAATCTCATTACATATCTTTCAATCCGGAAGTTCGGATGGAGTGCAATAGTGAGGGAGTTTTCCTCAGGGATGTAAACTTGGGATCTTTCATCCTTGCTCTCTGTTTCTAGAGGGATTCCTTTTTCATCCTAAGCCAAAATAAAGAAAGTGGATAACATGCAAAAACTTCAACTTGAGCTTAAATAAGATTTAAATTCGAAATAAAGTTTTCCACTCTTCATCAATTTCATTAAATAAATGGTCCCCCCCCCCTAAAAAAACTACTCATCTGTTATCGTCTTAAATTGAATTGTGTTCCATCCTACCGAAAAAAAATACGCATTTAAATTTTGCGTGAATAAATACCAATCATAACTTTGTAAATCTATAATAAATGCGAATCGTAATTTCTCTCCAGTAAAATTCTGTTTTAACAATAATTCATAATAGAAGATGAAATTGTCATTATAAGCAAATATACGTATTTAATATTAAATAAGCAATAAAAAGACTTATAAATGAAATTGACATATTTACCTCTTTTTCTTTTATTTTCAATCATTTTGATTTAAAATACATATCTAGATTATTTTGCTTTTGCAGTAAGAATTAAGCAGCTTACTTTATGAAAGGCAGATATATCAACGACAGGAATGTTTGAACAACAAATTTTCAAATCCTAATAAGTTCTTACAGGAAGACATTGAAATGTTCAGTAGTTTCTGACGTCACTTGATAACAGTGAATTATAGTGAATAGTCAGTGATAACAGTGATTTTCATAGCAAGTTGTCAAGAAGGGAAAAATGGATATATAATAGGTATGAGGTCAACAAAAGGCACAGTTTTTCTAAGGGCGCAGCAGGATTTCTGAAAATGGCGGAAGATTTCCTTTGCTAGGAAGAAGATCACTTAGCCAGTGGTCACCCACATATTGCTTTAAAAATAAGGGTCAAAACTGTAAGAGGAAACGATGATCATTTTCGCTTTTTATACTGAAACAATAATACCAGAAATAAATAAAGACATCTTCCGTTTAAATCTTTTTCGCATAACATTGCGAATTTATGCAGCAAAAAAGTGTATTTGGCTAAAAACACTTTGTCCTAATCGCGGAAGGCTGATTATTTTTAATTTTTTAAAAGCATGCAATTTTTGTGCCTCTAATATTAGAATTTCGTTGGTGACTTAGAAATTTATCGTTATAGCGGACTACTCGTAAAAAAAAAGCAATCGTTAAATCGAACTTTAACTCTATTTGTACAAAAGAAAAATGTTTTATTTTAGTGACACAGTTAAAAATATCTTAAAACAAAAGGCGTTGCATATTTTTAAAATGAAGCACTTTTGCTACACTAAGAGTTTGAAAAACAATTGATGTCTGAGTTCAGGCTTGTAACCTATCATGTGGAGTTGTCAAGTAATTTTTAATAATATATATACATCTATATATATATATATATATATATATATATGCTAAAAAATTTTCTTTGATAATTTAAATAATTTTTCTATGTGCTAATCCATATCGTGCAAATCCGCGGCTAAAATTATTTGCAAAGCAGGCAATTTATGTTTCTCTCTTCTATTTTATATTTTTTCTTAAATAAACATGTATGTTCTAAAACTATTTATGATCAATTTTTTAAAATTATCCAGTATAATATTACCTTGCGCACATCCATTTCGGGCCCATCCTTGGTAACTAACAAATCGAAACTCAGAATAACAAATCACTTCTGCAGTGCAGTAAGAACGACGCTTTAAAACCCTCTTGTTACACTCAATTTGCGCTTTGTTTTCATATTTTGTAATATATCTTATATCATATTTGTAATATATATGGATTATATCTTTTTTTTCAGGTTTTTTAAGTAAAATTTCATCTTTTTTCTTTTTTTTAAAAAAACTGTTGTTTGTTATTTTTTTACTTATCATCCCCCCCTTTTTTTCACATGTCTATAATTTTCTTTGTTTTATTCTTCATTTTGAACTTATCTAATGAGTGCTTTTTACTTGCAGCTTAAGCGCAGTAAATGATACTTATTGTTTTTCTTAACNTTTTTTTTTTTTTTTTTTTTTTTTTTTTTTTTTTTTTTTTTTTTTTTTAAATAAAATATTGTTTGTTATTTTTTTTACTTATTATTTCCCACCCCCTTTTTTTCATATGTCTATAATTTTTCTTTGTTTTATTCTTCATTTTGAACTTATCTAATGAGTGCTGTTTACTTGCAGCTTAAGCGCAATAAATGACTTCTTAACTTTCTTAGTGTTTTCTTGTATTTATTTATTATATATATATATATATATATATAATTTGAATTGTATGTTGGCGCAAACCAGTATCATCTGAAAACTTAGCCCTGTAAACTTAGTTTCAGCAACTTATACTTTACTTTTACACCGCCGTCTAAAATTTTGAAAATAATTGTGTAATTTACGAAAAATATTAACAAAACACGTTACTCAAATTGAGTAAAAGAAAGTAGAGGACTCCACGAAAAACAGATAGTGATGCAGTGACGTTTGCTTCAAAACGTCAAGCATTACTTTCGTAACAAAACTTTTACCATCGTCGGAAATCCCCCCCCCCCACAGTGTTAACACTTAGCCGACTGACCAGAGAAATGTCTCAGTTTTGTAATAGTTAGTAGTATCTGTTTAAAAATGGTGATGCCCGATACGTTTATCGTTTAAGAATTTTTTTTTTCTAGTTTTGCTTCATCTTCTTGGTTTGACGAAAAGTAGGCGAAATTTAGATTGATGATAATGTGGCGATAAGTTTAGCTCCATTTAGGAAACAGGTGTAACCATTGTTCTAGTACGCTTCACGTGGTTGAAGCCTGGAGATCTGGCTGGTCAATCTATCCAACCAATCTCTTCACTTTCAAAATGAGTGATCATCACCTCCCGTAAAATGGAATAAGGGCTAACTACAATTCTAAAATGGTAAATATAGGGCTCTACGACATTATAAAGCAAAATTAACGGTCGCCACCAGCAGCAGGTCGATTAAATGCAATAAATGGTGTTTAACAAATTGTCCACCAATCGCCCCTTTTTACATCAAAAATGCATCCTATGTGTAGATATTATAATTGTTTTAAAATAAATATGGATTTGTTATGTTAAAAAGTTTATGATATAAACTTAATAATACTTTGAATATTACTTTATGTATCGCTTGTTTCTATTTATTTTTTTTTTAAATGTATCTCGTATTATTCATTTTCAAAATAAGAAATGCTTTAAAAGAAATGCCTTAGTTTTCGAATCGTATAAAACTTTCAATGTATGAAAAAATGTTCACATATTTTTAAAAAGTGGCCACTGTTAGGAAATGCTACAACTGTAGTCTCGTCTCTGACCAGTAGCAAAATTCCCTAATTTTGCCCTATGCAAGACACCACCCTTATACCTCATGCTAGTCATATAGAACCACTTTCAAAGACTGAAAGGTTGTGCGCCAATCCGATATGGACTATCAACCACTGCTATAATGTTCTATTTCTCGGACATTTGAAGGTATACTTGATTCATGCTTTTATATAAAGAGATCCGTTACCTACCCTCCAATGTTCGAGAAATGGCATCAACGATTTGATGGACTCTATGTTGGGTGTACTTGACGACTGTAGAATAGAAACTGACTGGTGTAAGGTACAGAGATGAATCCGATGTTCCCATTTTTTTATGTGCACCGATTAATGGATGAAAGCAGTGTTCAAATAGTCGGTTATTTTCTGGAAAGTAAACGATCGTCTAATGAATAACCCAAATAAATTTGATTAAAATCTGTTCAGTGGTCTCGGATATATACGGTGAAATCTGGAAATTCTCTTAATTTTAAACACCATTATAGGGTTGCAGAATATTGTGAAGACTGTAACAAAACAAAGAAATATATTTTACATAACACATTTTGATCATTTATTTGCTAAGGCATCATATCAAAGTTTTTTTTTTTTTTTTAACATCCCGTACATTGAAATTTTTCATCTTTACTAATTTTAAAAAATGTTCAAATTTTATAGCTCATTTGAGAAATTTTTAACACAAATCATTTTAAAAAGAAATGGAAAAAAGGATTTAGAAAAAAAAAATTCAACAATAATACATGAAATAGCTGCAACATTAAAACCTTTATACTTCTTTTTAAAAACACCTTTTTTTACACTCTCTATATCTAACAGTTTACCTACTTCTACTGTATACAAAAAATTGCATACAATATGTGTAGTGCTGTATACAACAATTCACATTTAAATGGACGGGATTAGTGCATAGTTGAGTTGGATATAATAGGTCTTTGAACACTTAAGATACCATTGGCACATTAACAATGCATTGTGTGTTGCAGGTTGTTCATATAAGTAGATTGTTCATTTTTATTCATCAGTCTCGCTTTAACTGCAGCCATTCTGAACTTTATATTCTTTGAAGATAACAATGATTTTAAATACCAGACCAGAACGACTGCCTACTGTTACCTCCACTGAAACTGCAGAGATTTCTATAGCGTGACCAGGAGTGTACCCTGTTTCTTGTGATGGACATGTCACGTTATCACATGTTACGAACTGCTCCTTAATAATGACAGCACAAGACAAAGTGTTTGGTTTGCTTGGCGATGAGTCGGCCCTTCATCTTTTAAAAATGCTATGAGATGTATGCATAACCTTGCTAGGGTCACTTAAATCGTAATGTAGTTGTTTTTGGATATACCATGCAGATTAATGCAGTCTGACATAACAGGCCTGGTATAACAGTCTGATAAACTTTAGTTTTTAAGAGGTTCACAAAAGAGAAAAATATTCGATATTTATCCAAGTTTTGACCAACGAAAAGATAATCTGTTTCCTAACAACGAAGAGGCATTCGAGAATTCTGGCTTAGAGACGAGATGTTCACTTCAGAGGCAACGGACTTTGCTTTCGTAAAACAAGACCGAGCAACATTCTCTTGAACCCTAAGACATTAGACTTAGTTGTAGTTTGAACAACTATGAAAAATAATTTACCAAACTCTATTCGCAAATATTCTAGCCCCCCCTCCCCCGCTGTAAATTATTAATACTCCAAGAAGCGACTTTTGTTTCGCGCCAATTCCTTGAATACTATAATATTTTTGTTTATCTTACAATAAAAGATTTTGAACATTTTGTTATACAAGACGCAGGTTGTTTTCACAAATATAAAAAGAGATGTTTTTGCAGTGATGTTAATTGTGTGCTAAGACGAATATATAACATAAAAAATTGTCTTTTAACAGTCATGTTTTTGCAAAGTTTGTTTGTAAAACATGAATAATTAATCTTTGCAATATGACAGACCTAGTGATACACATATGTTTCAGGTGACGAAAGTGACAAATTTATCATAAACGTAGTGGTGATAACTGAGTGGATCCTTGTTAGTTTAATTATCAAAATTAAGAAATCAATTAAAAAAGTGAAATATAACCTCTAAGATGCAATTTTCTTTTTTGAAATCATTATCAATTTCATGCTATTCAAAGCTCTCTCAAATCGCCACATCAAAGACTTGCATTGTTCCAATATAGTTGCAAAACTTTAGATATTTTATCGTTTTTGTAAATAATTCATAGGGATTAGAGGAAACTCACTAAAAGATTTCTGATTTATTGTTTCCTGAATAGAAATCTTTTTAGTATCGTCACACATTTTGCGGCATCTTGTGGTGGTCATCAACAATTAAAATAGCTAACAATTGATGGAAGGGGAGAAGAAAAAAGGTAAGTTTAAAGACTTTTGGTTTCGTTTTGTATGTCGTTGGCGGCCATCAAAGTGTTCCATAATTGACTATGGACAAAAATAAAAAAGAGAGCAAGTTTTTAGACTTTCTTTCTTCTTGTATGTCGTTGGTGGCCATGTATAAAAGAGTTATGCAGTCGACAGTTGATGAAAACGAAAAAGAGAGCAGGTTTTCTGACTTAGCCATCCTCTTATATGTCATTTTGGCCATTAAAGAGTTCCATAACCGGCGGTTGATGATAACGAAGAAGAGAGTAGGTTTTCAGATTTTCGCTTTCTTCTTGTATATCGTTGGTGGCCATCAAAGAGTTCCATAACCGACAGTCAATGAAAACGAAAAAGAGAGTAGGTTTCCAGATTTTCGTTTTTTTCTTGTATATCATTGGTGGCCGTCAAAGAGTATCGCAACTGACGATTGATGGAAAGGGGGGGGGGAAAGGAAGATAGCAAATTTTCAGACTTTGCTCTCTTCTTGTATGTCATCGTTTGTGTCTGAGGTATAAAGAGTGGCACTAATTTCAGGGATTGGATTGGTAGGTGACAATTCCAGGTCGTTGCCATTGATAGTTGGGACACATTTGGGGAGAGATGACCGTCTTCTGGAGAGCCGAAAGAACCTGTCTCTTTGCATCAGATTGTGGAACAATCGGGTCAGCCTAGCTTCGTATCGTTCAGAGCGTACATATTTGATAATAACAAGGGTCATCGCCAAAACGTAGATAGCCAAGACAATCTGTAAGAAAAAATTAAATTCATTAAGAATTAAATTTGATTTGGTAGCAAGTGGTCAGGGTAAGTACTCTTCTTTATTCGACAATATTTTGTAATGCATGCAAAGGTAAATAAAAATAAAAAATAATAAATTTCAAATATAAATAAAGGAAATGAAACACCAGATTAACTTATGATCAAATGTTGGGATTTTCATATACTACCTGCTGCAGGTTTTATAACCGTCGTTGAACAGTCGACCCAATTTTTGGGTTTACGACTACTAATGTTCAACTCCGTAGCCTTATAATTTTGAACCCAATCCAGAAGACAAGGGAACTCCTGGATCAAGTATTGTGAGAAATTTGCCTTCGTGGAGGACTTTTTGATGGAACTAACCCGCATTTGCGTCATATGGAGAGGAAGACCATGACAACCTCCCACGGTTAACCAGACGGCAAAGGTACACTGACCCATGATCCGTCTATCACTGAGGATATTTCACGTCAGCATCGTGGTCGGTGCAAGCCAGATGCGGAATTCGTATCGACCAGTCATCGCCGGGATCGAACCTCGGTTCACATCATTGGAAGGCGAGCGCTCTATCCCCTGAGCCATCGCAGCTCCCTGATGCAGGTTTCGAAATAAACGGGGTTTTTAATACAATGTTATTACGACGTATTGATTTCAAATTTAAGTTTCGACTTTTTGATGCTCTCGATTCATGAAAATTCTATCATAATTTCACGTTGTGTGAGAAGTTTTTTCAGGAGTTAATTATCATTTTTTCGAGGAGTTATTTATCATATTATTCATGTCCCGCAGATACCTTTGCATGTCCCCCGTCATGTCAATATTAAAACATAAATACCGATTAAGCGCCCCCTTAAATTTCGATGAAAATTAACCGAAGATGCTGAATAGAGCGGATGAACGGTACCAAAGATGAGAAAAAAAAATTATTATGTTTAAAATGACCTTAATGCTATTGAATTGAATTATAAAAGTAAGAATTTATAAATCTTGATAAGCATATCATTATTTATCCCCTTAGTTAAGGTTATTTTTATTAAAAATAAGTTCAGCCAAATCACTAGGCAATGTGAAAGTAAACAAAGCGCAATAATTACATCGATTTATGGGTGATTCTCACGAAACATGACAATTCAGACCAAAAAATTTCTTCAAATTTGAAGTCTTCAAAATAATCTAAAAATTTTTTTGTATACTTCTTTAGCTACACTTATTAATATCTTATGGACAGNCATCGATTTATCTTGATTGATTCTCACGAAACACTTGAACACTCGAACTTGGGTGATTCTCACGAAACATGACAATTCAGACCAAAAAAATTTCTTCAAATTTGAAGTCTTAAAAATAATCTAAAAATTTTTTTGTATACTTCTTTAGCTACACTTATTAATATCTTATAGACAGCAGTGTAGTTTATTGACATTTGCTCGAGAAAAGAAATAAAATAGATATTCACCAATTCTTGAATGCCAGGAAAATGACATATTACCTTAGAAGTTTAAAAAACAGTCATTTTAAGTTAATAGTAAGTAACTCAACTTAAGCCTTTATGTTAGATGGACCATAAATTGCTTAAATTAATTCTTTTTATCCACTGTAGAAAGAAACAAAAAAATTTTTGTTGCTGATATGTACAGAATAAAATTGTGTATAATAATCAATCATTAAATAAATAAATAACTTTGATTACATCCAAGCATATTACAATCATACATAAACTTGGTATTAGGTTAATATTTGCTTTCCCTCTTTACAGTATTAGCAGTTAAAAAGAATTTCTGGTAACACTTCAATGTCCTGGCATTCATAAGCCAGGAAAATGACAGCCAGGATAATGACAAATTCGCCATTTTATAGCATATAACTTTACTTTAATTTAATATTTTGGCCGAAGACGTTTATATTCTGCAGAAAACAACAGTATTTCTTAAAATAACTCAAATAAATCTATGTAGTTTTTGTTATTAATGATTTCAAGAAGCCAGGAAAATGACAGCATAAAAACCTACTCACCTTGAAAAATTTTTTGAAATAGATTTTGAGCCAGAAAATTGGTTCTTTATTCATGCAACAAGACATGTTCAGATAGGAGGGTATCTAATCAATCTATTAACATAAGATATTGATTCCTGGCGCTATCTATTTTGGTTATAAATCACTAAATAAAAGTAGCCAGGAAAATGACAGATTTTCATGGGACAAACAAATTATTGACAAAAAAAACTATTTTAAACGAAGTTTTAGTAAACGATACCCTCTGCGGATGTTCTAGAAATGCTTACATAGGATAAGATAAAAAAAATTAGATTTTGAAAAATGTATGGGAAGTTTTAAAGCTAGTTATTATTGGAAATATTGTTTGGGACAAGCCTGGAAAATGACATTTTGACATTCAATTAAATTTTTTAAGTATACAAAACAGTCAATGCTAGTGCAAAGTCATTTTAAAATACTAACAGCAATGCTATTTATTAATTTTTTTTTTAAATAAGTTCTTTTAGTATTACAGTATTAGATTTTGGAGCAAGGGACAGTGAATTTCATGTTTCGTGAGAATCACCCTTATATAATTCTCTTTTGAGATCAGCTTCAAAACTGTGTGGGTAAAATTTCTTTTAAAATTCATTCCAATTAACTGAATTTTTGTTAACATATTTGAACTTCAAAGGCCTTTTCTTATTAGGAATTACAGTGGAATTAGATATACAAGCAAATTACTTTGATTTACAATCGAATTACTTTAGAATCACGTTGGATATTCACTGGAATTCGATATACAAGCAATTATCATTTTTTTGAAAACGCTAAGTTTTTTTTAAAATCAAAACTTCACTTTACAAAGTTGTCATTTTCAAGTTAGAACGTTAAAATCTGATCGCTAAGAAAGTTTTTGTTACTTGTAAAATTAAGTTCTAAAGCTGGTTTTAAAATAAAACACCTCTAATGCAAATTGGTTTAGAAAATATGAAATTTTAATTCTTCAAGATTGGAAACATGTTTAAAAGGATTTGAATCCAACTGTGTTAAATTTCGGCGTTTCGTGATTACGGCTGATTAAAGCATTCGCTCTGTTTGGATTTTAGCTATCGGTATTGTGTCCACGGAATTCAGTTATCAATGCGTAACGTTTTAAATCTCTGTTTTGTTGTTCTTGCTGATGTAGGCCATTAGGGATGGGGTGTAATTTTTCTTGTTTTCAAGTGATGCCATCTGTGGCCAAAAATTCGACATCTGCCACATCCATACGTCACACCCGTTTATAGAGTAGACCCATTCATACATCCATTCATTCATCCACAGATTATAATTTTGACCTAAACCATCAATTCAATCTCCATTTCAGTACCCTTGAAGGTATGATTTGTTATGGGAACAAGGAGGAATTTGTGACCCGACAGATTTAGCGTGTACCAGTCACCATTTACTATACGGGGGGTACAGTCTTCGGGCGACGGGATTCGAATTCCGGCTCTCACCTGCAAATCTCTTATTTTAGTTAATGGATTTCAATTACCAGAACATAAATGATGGCGTTTGCCGAGCTATTTGCGTGCATTTCCAAAATGGCTTCATGTCCAGGTGACAAAGTCGTCTGCCTGAAAAAGGGTGGAATGAATACCGGGGGTGGATTAGTTGTTCTGATGATGGAGCTGGCAGTCGGTGGTCCGGCGGCATCTCCCAAATCGGTATAATTTTCAAACGGTGCCATTTGAACATGGTTGAGATTCTCACAGGATCTGAATGACCTTCTTTATGGCCCACAAAAGAAATAATCTGAAACGTGAAAAAGAAAGTATCATTAATATTTAAAGCAAGAAGAACACTTTATATGTTTACTTACAAGTTTTTTCCCCTTAAATTTCTTTTCTTTTCTTTATTAAAATGCATTTTATTTTCACTTATTTTTAAACCGTTGTCCATTTTTTTAAAAACTTAGTTTTAAATCTGAAATAACTGAATAATTGTGAAAATTGTTTTTATTATTATTAAGTTATTTCATTATTAATTTATTCCATTATTAGTCGTCATAGGAACCGATAAAAATAAAATGAGTGAGAGAGGTATTGTTTGATACGCTAATCAAGACCGAGGACGCAGATTTTATAATCACCTTTCTTAACCCCTTCCTTCTGGTTCCCGTGAAAATGACGGGGTGAGGTTTCGCCTTCTATTTCTCGCTCCAGTGAAATTTCTGGGCTGGGGTGTTCAGTAGTAACGCACCAATAAGAATAAAACTAATTCATTTCTTTTGGCCTGAAAACATTTTATTTCTCATTTTATTCACCAGATGGCAGTACCAGGGTATTTTTAAGGTAATTGTAGATAGTTAGTTTATTTTAAACTCGGAGCGAGCACTAGATACCAGTTTATTTAAAAATAGATGTCAAAAAAATAGGAACTTTTATGACCGTTTTCTTCAAAATTAACCGAACGTTAAGGGGTTAAAAAAAATGTAATTTTCATTATTTTCATATTTTTATAAGCTATATGATTCATTCACTTTTTCTTTTTGAAAGCTTTATATTCTCGAAAGATCAATTTTCATAAATATACAAAATTTATAACTTTAATCTAGAATATATTTTTAGTGAAAACGTTGCACTTATAACCTTTTATTCTGTTGTGGTTAAGTTCAACTGCGAGAAAAAATTGTGATATATTTCAAGTATACTTTAAAATTCCCTGCATATTTTTTTATTATGCACTAAATAAAAATTAAAAAAACGTTACATGTTTTGTAAAAATTTTAAATTGCCCCTACACTTTACTTGGATCCCGGCATAAATGTAGTCCCTCATTTACTTGAGTACAACTAGGGACATGTTTTGCGTTTCTTTCTTCTCTTTTTTCTTTTTAAATGAAACATTTTTTCAAATTTAAGTAACTGAAAAAAATCAGCATACTAATTAACTAAAACTGTTTTGATTACTTGATACGATCTATTCTTTACCGAAAATATCACTACATTCCTATACGAAATACAATTCTTTAGAATGACGTACGAATTTAGGATTTCTTATTTATTGAATTCCCTCCCCCCCAACCCATATCATCTATTTACATTTCCACAAAACAAATAAAATTTCAGAAGCATTAAACGTGGGAATTTCACAAAATACGTTTTTTCGAATACTTTAAGGCCAAAGTTGTTCAGAGTAAATATTGATGGAAATATATATTTGGATTCTCCAAAATATGAAATACTCCTCTCAAGACAGCATCAATCGAGGGCATCCACATTTTTCTTTATTTTTTTTTAAACTTTTTTGAAAATATATATATATATTTTGGTATTTGGTATTTCTCAAGGTTGAAGAGTTTATGGAAGTTTAGATTTGTTTCCCTTGCTCAAAAATGTATGTATTATTTCATTTATGGATAATTCTTTGCGAGTCTAAATGAATATTCAACTGTATGCAATGATAAATTGGAATTTATATGATCGGATTACGTGTACTTTGTTAAACGTTGCGAAAAAGCCATCTGTGAGTGTAAATTTTAGGATCGAAATACGATAAATAAATAGAGTGTCATTCTTATATACACTTACAACTAAAATGATATACAATATTTGCAATGTACAAAATAAATGATCCATGTGTGTAACTATTTGCATAACATTAGTAGCATTCTAATGTGCAAAAATGATTGGACAAAAGCAAAAATCTATAACATTAGCAGTGTACAGTAAAAAATAAATAATCTAAGGATCGTGTACAAAGATTCAATCTTGATGTTTCGAGTGTTTAATTTTAAAAGTGCAAATTAATTAATCTAGACGATATTTCAAGAACGTATTCTCTCTGAATAAACGTATCTATTCCTTATGGATTTGGATCCTCAAAATTGGGTTAATAACCGCATTCTTGAAAGCATGGTTGCAATGGAGTAGAAAGTGGGTGTCATTTAATGTGAGTCTCACTTTTTTGCGTAATTCACCGTTTCAAAGTAGTCATAATTTGAATCTTTTATATCATTAGAACTATTCAAAATGTAAATTTTGTGATTTGAACTTGTGTTGATAAATTTGTCATAAAAATGTGTGTACCTTACTGTTCTAATTTTTTTCAACTATTAGCAAATTAAATAACAGAAAATAATTATAAGAAACCTGTTTGAAATATCGTTGGCCAAAGAAGTATGCAAAGCGTTCGGACTCGTTTCATAAGTTGCAGGAGCCGGCCAGGTGGCCTAGCGGTTAGCGTGTCGGACTGCGAAGCCAATGGCTGCGGGTTCGAATCCCGCTCTGGGCATGGATGCTTCTCTCTATCTGTTGTCCTCTGTTGTGTGTGATGTGTGAGTGTGGCCCACCCTATGAGCGGGTATTTGTGGCAGTGTGGTGTGAGTAATGTTGCTCGCCTCCGTGACCTCTGGGTAACGTTAAGTGAGCATCTGTTATCTTCCGAGGTGAAGAAAGAAAGTTCAGTACCTGCCGTTAAAAAAAAGAAGAAAAAAAATTCGAAGAAATTTTCTACATTTTCGACCTCTCTCTTGCCAAAACATGACCAGGTGGTGGTTTGGTTACCTATATTTCGAGGGTTAAGAATACATATCTGTCAAATTAAAAAAAAGATGTTTATTCAGAAAAATACGTTTTTGTATCTGATTTTGTAATTTAAAATATCACCTGATCAATGCTGATTAATTATAGTGAGGTCCTCAAACCATTAGGATTGAGTACTTTTACGTGAAAATCCTATTATTTGATCATAAATTACTAAGGTATTCGTTTTTTTTAATTGTGCAAATATGATTCGTGAAATACAAGAAATTTGTTAGATGATTAGCAGCTTCGTAACGAAGAGAGAGCAAAATAAATAAATAAATAAACGGACCACCCTAAATATCGGATCTTCACATTATTGGATTAATTATCGGTTCTTCACATTATAGAATCAATCATCGGATCTTCACATTATTGGACTCCATCTTAATGGTTCTAGAGGGTGACCTCAAATATGCTAATTAATTAACACACATAATATTAAGTTAAGAAATCAGACACAAAAACGTACTTTCTCTGAACAAACATGGCGTTCTTTCAACGGATTCGGATTTCTGACTCCAAAAATATAGGAGGTAGCCGCAATCAGGAAATTATGGTCCCCATTGTTTGGTCAGGAGAGCGATCCAAAATTTGGAGCCCTTAAAGTTAATTATACTTTTTGCGTATTTAGTCATATCTCGATAACTTTTTAAGCGAATTGAAAAGTTTTTGAGCACAATTATAAAATTCTTTTTTGTAAAGGTAATTCCATGCGAAAAATTAAATTTTAGTAAATATTTATTATTTTTTATTATTTTATTTAATAATAATCGAAAAGAGTTTGAATAGTTTTTTGCATCGTTTCGAACAATATAATTTTACATGGCAAAATACAAAATTTGAGCGAAATCGGTCGAATAGTTCCAGAGAAATTGAATTTTCAAAGCGCGACTTTTTTAATAATCGATTTCTCAGGAACTATTTGACCGATTTCGCTCAAATTTTGCATTTTGGACAAAGATTATATTTGATACGTAGCAAATATATTACGTTAATAGAAATTACAATGCACTAATAACGTGCGAAACGTGAAAACTTTTCACATTCGTAATGTAAAAAATATTTTACAAAAAAATCAAAACTTTTTAACGAAAACCCTATAAAATATATCTTTTATTTATGTTTTTGCAATGCCACGAAAACACTCAGAAAGTATTTAAAATTATTTCGTGGTGCTCTGACGTAGGAAATAATAAGCTGCCATCGATTTTTTTAAAAATCGATTATTGATTTATTAATGATGGGATTAAATGTAGAATTTGATGGCGCAAGCTGCTAATATACTATGATAAACTGTAGGTTTGAAACTTACAATATTACGTAATTTACAACGCAGTAAATTTGAACGATAAAAATTTTTTATTCGAAAAAGAGAGAGAGGGAGAATGGAAAAAAGGAGGGGAAAAACAACTAGGACGCTTCATGAAAAAGCAAAATTAGAACTCAATTTTGTTCTGCCGAATGAAATTCAATACCTAATTTAATGATGAATCAATATCCACTCCAGTCTTCTGTGTCCTCTGATGCCTCACACCGAAGTAATGCAAAAGCGAAATTATCAATATTTTATTTTAATGATTTCGTGCCTAAAATATTTTAGCACAGAAAAAAAAAACATTTAAAAGAAAAATGTTTTTTTTTTATCGATTAAATTTGTTAAACTTCAGAACAAGAACCATTTCGAGGAAAAATCGTTATATGTTTTAGGGAAAAAAATTTTCTAAAACATGTTCGGTCAATTCCATGAAAAAGTGGACACAAAGATTATTTTTAAAATTTTATCAAAATAATTTCTTTTTTTTCGGTTAAGACCAAGAAAAATTAATTTTGCTTTAATTTTAAAAATGCAGATGAAAAAAGTTGGAAATTTAAGAAATTGAAAAAGAAAGAACATGATATTAATGCAATGGATTTTTTTATGATTAATACTGTTGAGCTATTTTTAAAGAGAAAAATTACAAGCCTTATATTCAAAACTTTAACTTCTCATATTATCTTAAAATATGAAATAAATATTCACATTTTCTTTTCTCATTTAAAGCAGTAAATCATAGAATTTGCAAAAATGCATTATAGACGAGAATAAAAACTATTTTATTTTTATGCTAACCTTAAACAGTTAATAGTAGTGTCGAGTTACGTCTTTCACAAAAACTAAGCTTCTTTCATTTCTACAAAACATTAAATACTTTTAAACTACATTTCATCTTTTTCTGCAACAAGAGAA